AAGTTGGTCTCAGCAGAAGCTGTAGGGGAGTTTTCCTGGAGCTTTCGTCCATCACATGAAGAACTAAAACCCAGCAATAATTCATCGGGGCCACAGGGCGACCTATTCGTACAACTTTATAGTCACAGCCTCAAGACTATCCCCATACAGCTTCCGGTGAGGTCAACTTATGAATCCCTTCCACTCACCCCTACAAATGAACTGAAAGGTACTCGAACATGAATTTATTAAAGCCCTTCTCCAAAACTAGTTTGTTTACATAGCCAAAAAGCCATCGTTAAGGTTTAGGCAAGGCAAATCAGATTGAGTAAATGTGTTGAATGCTACAAAATAAAGAAAAAGTGAAAAATTTAGCAACCAATATTATAAAAAATGTCTTTAAAAATTACTTTCGACTAGTTCATCCAGAATATTAAGAAGAAATTTAAAATAATGTTGAACTAAATTTTTGCTACGTAAATCACATTAAGATCGACACCATTAACTCACCTCCCCAGTAATTAGAGAAACTCGGAAGTATTCCGAACGAAAGCTGATAAGAAGATGATTTGGTCCATGAAATGTGATAGCCTTAGGCGTATCAGGCAATTGAATCTCTGTAAGCCAACACGACTCTGCTGCTATACAAGAGGGAGACATAATAGAGCCATGGACGTTAGAATCGGGTGGTGAATGTTGCGAATAGGAGTTGGGTTTGACGAATTTTCTATCAACTGGATCCCAAAGCCAAAGATTCAGCTTACGTCGGATGACAACACAGATACTTAAGGTAGGAAGGCGTGAAGAATGGCTAGTTGAGTAGAAATGAGGGCGTGGCAGCAGGATACTATGCGATGATATATCAGAAGCCAGTGACGTCGTTGGAGAAGCAATTGTACCGCCGGTAGTAGAGGTCCCTGAAAATTAAAATTTAAAAGCATAGCAAAAAATGAAGGAGAGACTAAGGGGAAATTGGAATATGACAGGTTTTGATGAAAATGTAAATAAGAATTGAATAAATGGAGTATGCTAGTTGAACAAAACACTACAGGGTGAATACAAAAAGACATTATAAATGTTTGTAAACCAATAATAATAAATCAACTCCGAAAAATATCTAGACTTCTAATGATTTATAAAATGCAATACACTAAGGACAAGTGCTCTCAAAATTTACCTATAACCGCAGAGTCGTTTTTACCTAGGATATCTTC